ACACCTTTTTTTATTTTTTAAAGGTGATTTTAAGCTATAATTATCCGAAGTGTGTATACAGAGAGAGAGAGAGAGAGCAGGTGGAATATTGCATTTCATCAATGCTGAGTAATTGAATTTAAAACAGGAAAGGAAGAGGGATTGGGATTAATTTGCTTTGAGGAAATTGATCAATAAGGGATAGGCCAGGGATCAGTTTGGAATCAGTTTTTTTGGGGAGGGGGAGACATTTAAAAAACCAACTTTCATAGAAACTTCAAAGTGCCTAACAAAGATTTTTTTTTTTTTTAATACCCTGGATTGACCAAGCAGAACTAAATAGATTCTGGAACAAGAATTAGACTGTTTTAAAAGGAGCTATTTATTATAATCTTCTCCTTTTTAGATATACTTTTTTTTATTAATTTGAACAAATTTAATGGGAAGGAAGGGGAATCTAAATTAATAGACAGGAAGAGGAAAGCGCGCTGAACCTGATAAAATGAATAAGAGTTCTTTTTGCTTAAAACACACTAGTTTTATATCCTTGAAAGGAACATAGTCCTTGATTGTTACTGGACAGACTTGACGTGTTTGTAAAGGCTAGGTTGAGACGTGGGGATCTTTTTTTTTTCAGAAGCAGGTTGTGGTGGTTGTTGTTGGTTACCCCCCTCCAGTCGTGTTCAGTGGAATCGGCTTCCCTGACAATTTGTAGAGTCAGGGACGGGAGCGAAATACGTGACAGTCAGACTGCTGCGGAAAGTGAACCGGGATTGCAGCTGGCGCTGCTTGCCGGAGAGGGACCAGCCCGCGCGATCCACTCCCTGCCCCGGTGAATGTACTAAGGACACCAAGGGGCACTGTGGAAGGGGTTTTGTCTGGGCCAGATGGAGCCCCGACTCGAGCAGGTGGATCCCATGGCTACGAAAGGGGACGATGTAAACACAGAAGTCACCACACCTGAAATCTGCCAAGCCCCTCTGGGGCTAGAGGAGGACGCTGCTGGCATGGGGGATGAAACCCAAGCGGCAGCAGGGCAAGGCCGCATGCTGAATGGGCAGGGGCTAGGAAGCCCAAAGGGGATTGGGGTAACGCATAGCGAGGAGGCTCCTTCTGGGCAGGGCAGCTCGAGCTGCCAGCAGGCCGTAGGCCGGGAGCATGAGGACACCCCGAGGAAGGATCCGTCCCCGAGAGCAGGGCCCAGTGACGAAGCCAGGCAGCTGGAGCGTGGGGAGCCAGAAGGAAGAGCGGACCCCAAAGAGAAGCAGCCTCCCCCGAGCGGGAGCATCCAAACGGGAGGCGTCGACTCCCCGCCGGACGACCCCATCTCCAGCCTTAGCCCAGGCGCCGCAGAGCAGGCGTCTGACGCCACCAAGGCCCGGCCCCCAGCCGGCGAGCCCGAGCCTGACTTCTACTGCGTGAAGTGGATCAGCTGGAAAGGGGAGAGGACACCCATCATCACCCAGTGTGAGAACGGGCCCTGCCCACTCCTGGCCATCATGAACATTCTGTTCTTGCAGTGGAAGGTAGGTGGGAGGCCCAGGACTGCCGTTCAGAGCAGGGGCGCTGGGCGCGAGGAGGGGGCGGTAAGGACCTAGAGATCGAATGTAGTTCATGTGAGAGGCTGCTATCTAGTGGCACGGAGGAGGCTACTTGTACTGAGAGGTTGGATGGCCCCAGGGTTAGGACACTGACCTAGTACTGGGAAGACCCAGGTTCAAGTTCCTGCTCTGCCACAGACGCTGAGACACCAGTCATTAGCATCTCCGTGCCTCAGTTTCCCCAGATGTAAAATGGGGATAATAGCCCAGCCCCACATGGGTGCTTGAGGCCATAAAGTGCTCAGATACGATGGGGCCCAGATAGGTATCCAGGACACTGGGGAAACCTGCCGCAAGGGGGAACTTAATGGGTGGTGCTAGCTACCTGCTGTTGTGCACGTGTGGGAAACGTGCACCATGTTCCTCAAGCTGCCGTTGTTCTGCAGCCACTGAAGCGCTGGCGTTCTGAACTCCCGTTGTCAGGGTTCTTGCCAGCGCCAGCCCACTGAAGTTGGTGGAAAGACTCCTATTGCCTGCAGTGGGCTTTGGAGCAGCCATGGGTATCCTGGGATGTGTCTGACATTACGGTAAAAATAAGTCTAGTCAAGTCTCATGCTTCAGGGCACCTGCTGGCTACTGCCGGGGTCAGGAAGGATTTTTCTACCTCCGTGCTGGGTTGCTAGGTAGCATGGCCCAGTGGATCAGGGCCTGAACTCGGGAAACCTGGGTTCTATTCCCAACCCTGCCGCTGATTTGCTGTATGACCTTGGGCAAGTCACTGCCCCGCTATGTGCCTCAGTTTCCCCATCTGTAAAATGGGGATAACGCAACTGATGCGGTGTGGGAAAGTGTTTAGCAATTGATGGATGAAAAGTCCTGTAAGCGCCACCTTATGGTGGGGTGGTTGTTTTATTGCCATCTTCTGAAACATCAGGTGTTGGCTAGTGGTGGTGTGGGTTTCCCAACATGGTTACGAGGGCTAATGGTCTGAATCAGTATGGCAGGAGGCAGACTAGATGGACCAAGTGTCTGACCCGTTATGGCTGAAGCGGGGCTACCAGGTTAGCTGGACCATCTCATGTGGCATGGCAAATCTACGTAAGGATGTTATTGGTATTGATTATCCCTATGCCCTGATTCAAGGGGAAGCCTTGAGGGTCAAAACAGTGCTGGGAGAAAGGGTCCTTCGCTAACTTCCCCACCCCCCCTCTGTCTGCAGGTGAAGCTCTCCCCCCAGAAGGAAGTGATCACGTCGGACGAGTTGATGGCGCATCTCGGTAAGTGGTGAATTCAGGAGAACACCTGAGGGGACTGGGCTTCCCAGAGCTATGCTGTGCTCCTGGGGCGCTCAAGATTCCCATCTGCTTCTCTGGGAATTCTAGGTACACAAAGAAGAAAACAGGACCGGACCCTCCTGCCTGCTTGTGTGGGTGCCTTTCTCCCCTGCCCCAAACAGGAAACGGGCTGCATTTAGTGCGTCTCTGTTCTGTTCCTCCCACCCCACTCCCTCCATCCCAGTCTTCATCCCCTGATCCCATCAGGACCATGCTGCAGGGCTAGACAGAGAGCCATCAAAGGGGCCTTTCCATTGAGCCTGTGCAGGAATTGCCATCTTCACCATAATCTAGATCCAGCCCACGCCCAGGGATAGACCAAGCCCTTGCCCTGGTCCTAGAGGCAAAAAGGATATGCCAGTTCCTGGCTCTGCCACAGACTCCCTGTGTGACCTTGGTCAAGTCACTTAGCCTCTCTGTGCCCCAGTTTCCCCATCTGTACAATGGGGATAATAGCCCTGTTCTGGCTCACGGCGGGGAGGGGGCTGCGAGGATAAAAATATTAGAGAATGGCGCCCAGGTATTACGGTATTGGGGGACTAGATAAGTACCATCCATCAGTAATAGGGACTGGGTGTTTTCTTGTCTCAAAGGCGACTGCATCTTATCCATCAAACCCCAAGAGAATTCGGAAGGGCTGCAACTCAACTTCCAGCAGGTGAGACCGTCTGGATCCATCCCCCCCCACACACACCTTCTGCAGAGTATCGAGGGAGGTCCGGGCGGCAGGGTTTAAAAATGCCTATCCTGTCATCCTGAACCGCAGCCCCACTGCGAGGGGGAGAGACCTCGCATGCTGCAAAAGGAATCTGCAAATCAGGGAGCTGTGTAGCTAGCAAGAGTAGTCTAGCAGTTAGAGCGCTGGACAGGGACTTGTTCTGCCATTGGCCCGGTTGATGCCCTTGTGCGAGCCACTTAATCTGCCCGATGCCTCAGTTTCTCCACCTATTTAAACAAACAAAAACCCCAATGTGTGTGTCTATATAAAACAGGGATGGGCAAACTGTGGTTCCCAAGCCACATGTGACTCTTTTACAATTAGTGTGCGGCTCGCGGAGCCCTCCATGCTGCCCCCCATTCTCCACCTACCAGACTTGAGCCCCGAGCCCCGGCAAGTGCCTCCCGTGGGGCAGAAGCCCCAAGTCCTGGCAGGCGTGCCCAAGTTCTTGAGCTTCTGTAAATTGCTCTATGCGGCTCGGAGGGTCAGTGAATTTGGCCAGCCCTGATATAAAATAAAATAAAAGTTATTTAGGTAACACTTTCCATCTGGGTTATAGGGATTAAAAAAAATTCCACGCTCACATTTGTTGCTGGTGAAGGCCAGATAGGTGCCTGAACGCTTAGATAAGTAGCAGACTAGTTGATTGAGCAGGCAGCGGCGAGCAATTTCAGAGCCGCACGCTGCTCCATCTTCCTTCGCCCTGTGTCCACACTCAGGATGCCTTCCGCCTCTACGGCACTTTCCACTAGGGTGAGAGAGGAGCCACTGAACCTAAAGGGGAGTGTTGGCCCAAGAACAAATGGGGATTAAACTGGCCAGGAGTCAATGGAGACTGGAAATTTAAAAGCGGGTTTCTAGCCACCAGAGGAGGGAGGTTCTGGACCAGCCTCCAATACGAGGGGGAAATGGCCTACCTAGTGTTAAGATGGAGCTTGATCAGTTTCTGCACGGGCTGACGTGGCAGGGTTGTCTGTGCTAGCAGGGACTCTGGACTCCGTGACCCAGAAGGCCCCTTTCAGACCTGTGTCCTCCGTTCCACACGAGCATCTTGTCTGGATTTCGATCAGCTGTGCAGCCCCCTTTAGTTACTGTATGCAGCACTGGTTACCCCAGCCCCAAAAGGACAGGGCAGAACCAGCGCGGGGGTCAGAGAAGGGCGGCGAGAATGGCTGGAGGCCTGAAAAGACTCTCCGATGGAGCGAGATTGGAAACATTGAGATTGTTTTACCTTACAGAGGAGGCAAATGGGGGGGGGGGAGGGATAGCTCAGTGGTTGGAGCATTGGCCTGCTAAACCCAGGGTTGTGAGTTCAATCCTCGAGGGGGCCATTTAGAGATCTGGGGCAAAAATCTGTCTGGGGATTGGGCCTGCTTTGAGCAGCAGGTTGGACTAGATGACCACCTGAGGTCCCTTCCAACCCTGATATTCTATGATTCTAAGAGGAGACACAGTAAAACCATATGCAGTAATGGGACAGAGAATGTCAAGCAGGCACTTCTGTTCTCTCTCATTTATTTGAGAACAAGGGGACAGTCGATGAGATTGAAAGGTGGTAAATTCTAAGCTAATAAAAGGAGACGTGATTAACCTGTGGAACTCATTGCTGCTGGAGGCCACTGAGGCCAAGAATAGAGCACAGCTCAAAGAGGAGTTGGGTGTCTATATGGAGAACAAGTATAGCCAGAACTAGAATAGCTAATGCTGACTATAGGGGCACTGGAAGGGAGACAGAACTTCAGGGCTGAAATCCATCTCTGTAGGGGCTAGGAGGAGCTGTTCGGGGCGGCTGGTCATCCCATATCTGCCCCTGTGGGGTTTGTGCACCTTCCTCTAACGCATCTGGAGCTGGCCATTGTGGGAGTTGGGATACTGGGCTTTAGGTGGGCTCGGGTCTGATCCAGGCTGGCCAATCCTATGCTCAAAGCCCTTTGCAAGCACTAATGGCTTGTCTACACGGGGAAATTGATCGGCATAACTAGTGCCGAAGAAGCTCTTCCGGAGCAGCTGTCCTTGTGAATGCTCAGTTCCAGAATAAAAGTGACTTTATTCCAGAATAATTACTCCGCTTTGGAAGGGCACTGATTATTCTAGAGCAGAGTGACTCTTGTTCTGGAGTGGACTGTCCACACGGGGAGCGATTCTGGAGTGGCTCCTCTGGTCAGTTTCTCTGTATAGACAAGTCCTGACTGAGTCTCACAGCTGCCCTGCTAGGAAGTTTATGTGACAGTAGTGCCCGATTCGGGATTGGGACCCCATTGTACTGGATGCTGCGCAGGCCTCACAAGAGACGGTCCCTGCGCTGGGAGGACACAGATTGGTGAAGTGAGGGGCCAGAAAGAGAACCCGAGAGTCCCGACTTCCAGTTGGTACTGCTAGGAACGCTAGCCGAGGATCAGGGCCCCCTGCACAGACAAGTCTCCCTGCTCTGGAGTGCTTATGAACGATGTGACAACAGGATGAAAGAGACCGACAAGGCAGGGATAGGAGGAAAGCAGGAATCCCAGCCCCTCCCTTGCCAGGACTCCTCTGTCTCCTATCTATACAAGGTGCTGTCCTCTCTCTTTCCCGACTCCAGAACGTCAACGATGCCATGATGGTCCTGCCCAAACTGTCCACGGGGCTCGACGTGAACGTGAGGTTCACGGGCGTCTCCGACTTCGAGTACACCCCGGAGTGCATTGTCTTTGATCTCCTGAACGTCCCGCTGTACCACGGCTGGTTGGTGGACCCGCAGGTGAGCGCCGTTGCTGTAAAGTCCACCCTGTGCATCGAATGGATACAAGCCAGAGCCGGTGTGTCGGCGCATGGAGGGGGTGGAGCAGGGGAGGGGGACACAGCGTGATCTAGTGGATAGAGTCCTTAACTGATCCTTGTAGCACTGACAGGCGTCTCCAGCTCTGGCACTGCCCTGCTGGGTGACCTTGGACAAGTCACATCCCTGCCCCGTGCCTCAGTTTCCCCATTGCAAAATGCTTTGAGATCTGCTGGTGAAAGAGCAATAGGAAATAGCTAGACGGCATTATGGTTATTATAGGAGCGGGGACAAAGGCAGCTGTAAATTCAGAGGGGGTTTTAGGAATTGGCGAAGCTGAAGTCCCGTCCAGAGCTTCTTAATTCAGCTTCTTAAGGCTGCTGGTAGCTGGGAACATCTGGGGGGACAACGAAAAGGTTTGGAGCCCGCTCAAGGGCCGTCACTCCACACAGCGGGGTGACACCCGTCCACGTCCGCTCCAAGAACAGAGGGGACGGTCTGTGGGAGGGGACGGTCTAGCCGGGCAGGAGATGGTGCATTCTGTCTCTGCAACGTTGTGGGTCGTGCCAAGCTGACGGCAGTTTCGGCCCCGACTGCGGAGGAAGTCGAGCCCAGCCCCCAGATAGCGGGAGAAGAGCGGAAATATCTCTGGGACCAAGAGCCAGTGTTTGGGTTGATGCTGAGACACAAGGGCGAGCGGGTGGGTCGGGGGGTTTGCAGGTGAGATCCTGGCCTCGCTGAAGCCGACGGCAAAACTCCTGGGGGCTTCAACAGAGCCAGGCTTTCTGTGCCCGTCGGCTGCTAGTTTGAATCCAGCCGGGCTGGTAGTGACCAAGCACTCTGCCCCCCCAGAACCGGGCTCTGGTCCCATTTTCAGAGCAGATGTGTCCGGATTGCACCCCCAAAAAGCCACCAACCTAAGAGCCGCCCTCGTTGGCTGCCCAGCAGAGAGCTGAGGATGGAGCGGGCCACTCTGGCTGAGATCTCCCCATACAGAAGGATGGGCTGCCTTCTTCCAGGACAGGTGGGGGCGGGAGAGCAGCGTGGTGGCCCGGCTGTCCCAGATCTGGGAATAACCAGGGGCCCCGGTCTCCTGTCTCCTTCAGTTACAACTTAACACCAAAGGTGCAGCTAAAAGACCAATGGCGACACCAGGGCAGGTTTGCCCCGTTGCTGGCAGCGGCACAGAGGGCAGGCAGCCTGCACCGCCCCTTACTGGCCCTTACTGGACCCTCCGGTTCTTCGGCCCCCCTTGGGGCTTTGCAAGGCAATGGATAGCCAGAGCGCAGGGCTGCGCCAGAACCCTGGATTGGGTGCAGGGCTGGCTCTGCTTGAGGGGAGCATCCCCTTGAGGGGCGGAGGGGCAGGTTGCACGGGCATTAAACTCCCTGTGCACCGTCCTCGCTGGCGCAAAGGGGCCGCAGGGTAGCGACCGGTCAGGCCTGCGCTTTCCCTTCTGGTCTGGCTTAAAAAACCCCTGTCGGGAGCCCTCCTTGGGCCATCTCCTTCCCCCTCCCCCCTTCTCCCCCAGAGCCCGGACGCGGCCCAGGCTGTGGGCAAGCTGAGCTACAACCAACTGGTGGAGAAGATCATCACCTGCAAGCACTCGAGCGACCCCAACCTGGTCACCGAAGGTAAATCCCCGTCCCCTGGAGAGCTCAACTCCCCGACCTCGGCACGGGGGGGGACCTCCTGAGTGCTGGGGCTCCCCCGGCCTTCGGGGGCTCCTGACATTGTTAACGGAGGGGGAACAACGAGCTGATTATCCTTTGAGCTGTACCTCCCCCGTCCTGCAAGGCGCCGAGCCCCCCTTTTCCCCCGCTGAACACCAGAGGGCACTCGCCCCTCGTTCGGGGCATAGTGAGGGAAGCGATTTCAGATCTGCAATGGGGTAGACCCCGTGGCCAGATTCACCTCTGCACTGGTACGGGGGGTGGAGGGGTACAGTCTCCCCTAATCAGGGGTTACGGGAGCCAGTGCCACCCTCAGGGGACCCCCCCGTGTGCCAGCGGAAGAGTGCAGAATAACCAGGGTACAGGCTTGCTCATGGGCAGCGAGGAACTGGGGTTCCCCAGGGAATCGGAGGATGTGCCTCCAGCTCTTTGAGGGGCCTGGCTGCGTTGAGGGCGGAGGTGCTGCAGGTGGGACACTCCCCCTCACCCCATTTCCACCAGCCCACCCAGTGTCGGCAGGTGGGAAAAGCTCAGGGAGGAGCCACCCTGCGCCTGGCTGCGTTTCCGTTCAAGGCCTTGCCGGGTTGCCCTTGCTGGCATCAGACAACCGGGCCGTCAGGTTGCGCCCAGGAGGGTTAGCTGGGGACGAGGCATCAGAGCCATTCCCTGGCTGCCTGGGCAAACGCTGACTCCGCTACAGGCATGGAGGGAGCTAAACCACTGCTCGGCAGAGCACCTGCACCCCCCCACCCCAAAGGTATTTCCTCCCAGCCCCTACCGCTGCTCGGTGAAGCTGCAGCGTGTTCGCTCTAGGTATGTGCTTCCCAAGCTGTGGGTCGCTAGGCAGAGTGGCCCAGTGGGTAAGGCGCTGGATTGGGACGCAGGAGACCTGGGTTCCATTCCCTGCTCTGGCACTGAGCAAGTCCCGTCCCTTCCCTCTGTCTCTGGTTTGGTAAATCGATTTAGCTACGGTCAGTCAATTTGTAGGTGCAAGCTGAACCGGTTTCACACCCAGCATCGGTTCACCCATGCTGAGCGCCGGTCTAACACCTCCCACCCCACCCCAGCTGACAACTCGTTTCTCCGCCCCAGGCCTGATCGCCGAGCAGTTCCTGGAGTCCACAGCCACCCAGCTGACCTACCACGGGCTGTGCGAGCTCACGGCCGCGGTCAAAGAGGGGGAGCTGAGCGTCTTCTTCAGAAACAACCACTTCAGCACCATGATCAAGCACCAGGTCAGCCTGGCCCCTTCCGCCCACCCCTCTGCCTTCCATAACCGCTGCTGCGTGCATTTGCGCACGGGGGCTCTGTGGCTGGGGAGGCTCCAGGAAAGGGTTAATGGGCTACTGAAGGCCCAAATAGAGACACTGGGGAAACAGAGGCACGGCTGCTGCCCCAGCACGGCCCTTTATGGCCCGGTGCGGCATTTGTGGCAGCCGTGCCTCAGTTTCCCCAGTGTCTCTGTTTGGGCCTTCGGTAGCCCATTAACCCTTTCCTGCCTTGCATGGAGGCTTGTGTGCCCCACTAGAGGTGGGGTGATGGTGACCCCTTGATTGCGACGTCCCCATTGTGAATCACAGGCTGCTGCTCCGCCCGCCCTCCGAGGGCTCTCAAGTGGACGCTGTCTCTTATTCATCTCTCCACAGGGCCACTTATATCTGCTGGTCACGGACCAGGGCTTCCTGCAGGAGGAGAAGGTGACGTGGGAGAGCCTGCACAACGTGGATGGGGACAGCTGCTTCTGTGACGCCGAGTTCCACCTGAGCCACACCCTGGGGAAGGAGGCGGCCGGCAGCTCCCCCCAGGAGCAGAGGCAGGTGGACCAGGTAGGAAACAAACGGCTCAGGGGAGGCCCGACTGCGCTGGGAGGTGGTTAGTTACAGTTTTGTAGCTGAGTGGTTAGAGCAGAGGGGGCTGGGCTTCAGGACTCCTGGGTTCCTTTCCAGCTCCAGGTAGGATATGTGGCCTAGAGAATGGAATTTGTAGCTCCCCTGCTCTTCTGACTGAAATGTGTCACCTCCAGGAATCGGTATCTACTGTAGCAGGATCCTTATCTTTAGGACAATGTTGTCTAGTGGTTAGAGCGGGGTGACGCTGGGAGCCAGGGCTCCTGGGAGCTGTCCTGGATGGTCAGTGAGGGAGATAGGAGCTCAGGATCTCTCTGGGTGTCTCTGTCTCTTAACCCCTCTGAGCTTCCATCCCCCCTGCGCACACACTCCCCATAGAGCAAGGCTGATTGAACCTCTGGGGCTGGGGAGAGGGGGTCATTGCGGACAGGTGACCTAGCCCAGATCCTCCGAGCCTTCCAAACCCCCCTCTCCTGATAACCACTGCTAAAGTGAATTCATGCAGAGGCCTGTTGAGACTGACGTACCTCCTCAGCGACTTGTCTCTAGTTCCTGCCCCTAAGTGTTTTGCAGCACTGTTAAATGACTGCTGCGTTGCTCCCCAGAGGTGGCCGCATGCCAGCGCTGGGCGAGTGAGCCCTCTTTGCACACCTGCTGCGTTGCTCCCCAGAGGTGGCCGCATGCCAGCGCTGGGCGAGTGAGCCCTCTTTGCACACCTGCTGCGTTGCTCCCCAGAGGTGGCCGCGTGCCAGCGCTGGGCGAGTGAGCCCTCTTTGCACACCTGCTGCGTTGCTCCCCAGAGGTGGCCGCATGCCAGCGCTGGGCGAGTGATCCTGTACGTGCACAATTTGTGTAGGGCTTTGGAACCCTCTGGGATATAAGATCTCCTCCTCTTCCGTGTATCTCACTCGCTGGAAGTCCCAGCACTGACCACGTCTTTCCCCCCCCTTGCCCCCCAGGACTACATGATAGCCCTGTCCTTGCAGCAACAGCAGCAAGGCCCCTCTGCCCTGAGCGACCTAGAGCTTGCGCGCCAGCTGCAGCAGGAGGAATACCAGCAGCAGCAGCAGCAGCCAGCGACACCTCCTGCGCAGGTAATGGGCCCTGGCCTCCCTCCCAGAATACATTGCAGCCCCATCCCACTCCCCTGCTGGGAGGACCTTCCTTCCTCAGGGATTCCGGGGAGCCTGTCAGCGCTGCTCCTAGACCGGCCAGCAGGGGGTGCTGTGGGGGTGGCACCCTCCTACGGCGAGGGAGACTCGAACTCATGCCTGCATGGTGGGTCCATTCCAGCCTCCCTTTAACCCTCCCACCCAGGAGTTGCTCAGCCCGACCGTCCCCCTTGTGTGGGGACGACGCGCCGGTCACACTCGGTGGTGCTGGGACTGCTACCCCGTCCTGTGCAATTCTGTCTCCTCCTCCCCACGGCCTAGCTGCGGCCCGCAGGCCTTTGCTCCGTGGCAGAGGGCGGAGCGGGGATCTGCGGCTTTGCATGGGAATCTAACTCCAAAGCCTCCATGTTCTCCTCTGCAGCTGCTGCATCTCTCAGGACAGCGACTGGAGCCTGGAAGTGAGGCCGGGCACCTGGGTTCTGTTCCCAAGCCCGTGGAGGGTGCCAGGGTGCAGTCCTGGAAATGGGGACCCATTGACTCAGATTCCTAGCTCTGGGAGGAGTATTGCCTAATGATTAGAGCAGGGAGCTGGTGCCAGGACACCTGGGTTCCATCCCTGGCTGCGCCAAGGCCATGTGCCAAGTCACTTCCCCTCTCTTTGCTTCCATTGCCCCCTCCTAGGAGAGGCTATTGGTGGGGAGGGGAATGGGACTGTCTGAAAAGCACCCTGAGATCGCTGAAGGCAGCGGCTGCTTTTTCGTCTCCTTGGTTTCAGGGGAGAGCTCAGCCGTCCGGCCGGCCGGCCGGGGAACGCAGGCAGAGACACAAGCAGGAGTCGGACTGCGTCCTCCTCTAGAGCCGCTCGCCCCCTGCCTGCTGCTTTCGGACCCCTCGCCCTCCCACGGTCCTGCCGCGTCACCGTAAAGACTCCCAGACGACAGCCCCTGCGGGGCTCGCCTCACCTCGCCTCCGGTTCCCCCGCCCGCCGCCCTCCCCAGCACAGGACCCGCGTCCCTAAGAACTCGGTCCTGGCTCCCGCACTGCAGAGGTGAAACCTTGGGCCGTGCTGCTGGTGTTTCCCCGGCCCCTGGTCCCTCCCGGCGTTGGGGCCGGGAGGGACCTCGCAGGGCAGAGTCCAGCTGGGCTGTGCATCGCCTGGGGTTTGTCCTCGCCCCCGACGCCCTCAGCTGTACCTCGCACTTCTGAGCTCTCACCAAAGATGCCGAGTGTTCTCCTCTCCCAGCTCACGCCGGGGCCAGGCCCGGGGCTGCTCTCACTCCTGCTGGCACCCTTTGAGCTTCCTCCCTGCAGAGCTCTGTGGTGGAGGCAGAGTTCAGTGATCAGAGCCCGGACTCCTGGGTTCTGTTCCCAGCTCTGGGAACGGAATAGGGTCTAGTGCCTAGAGCAGGGTGGGGCTGGGAGCCAGGACTCCTGGGTTCCATTCCCAGCTCTGGGAGCGGAGTAGGGTCTAGTGCTTAGAGCAGGGTGGGGCTGGGAGCCAGGACTCCTGGGTTCCATTCCCAGCTTCGGGAGCGGAGTAGGGTCTAGTGCCTAGAGCAGGGTGGGGCTGGGAGCCAGGACTCCTGGGTTCTATTCCCAGCTTCTGGGAGCGGAGTGGGGTCTAGAGCTTAAGGGCGGG